CGTACAGTTAGCTTCAGTCAAAACACGGGCTTAAAACATTCCCAATACAAGCATTGGGCATATGTGCAATAAAATCTGCAGTAGCAACGACCATTTAGCATACAGTTTAGCTTCAGTCAAAGCAAAGGCTTAAAACATTCACAATACATGCATAGGGCATTTATGTAATAAACTCTGCAGTATGTCTGCATAGAAAAAGTCTAATTGTATGAAACAGACCATCTATATTACTGTGATTGACAGATTTAGAGTGAGTGAGTGAGTTTAGTTTTTACGCCGCTTTTAGCAATATTCCAGCAATATCACGGCGTGGGACAACAGAAATGGGCTTCACACATTGTGCCCATGTGGGGAATCGAACCCGGGCCTTCGGCGTGACGAGCGAACGCCTTAACCACTAGACTACCCCACCGCCCCACAGATTTAGATAATTGTGCATAAGGCATGATCACGTTATCTGAAAGACGACAGTAAGTCATCCCGATAAGGAGGATGAATGAATGTCACCTCATAAATATAAAAGTTAAGGGTACAAGAAGGCTTCATCTGTGGACACACAGACGTTAAGCCCTCTCTATTAAAAAAATTGTCTGTATGTAATTACCGTGAACGTGAAGTCCGGGTTGTCCCTGTAAAACTGTGCAAAGGAAAATGGGTTGTTGCAGAGGTGCAACATCCGGTTTTCATGTACAGTCGAATACCCCCTGTGCATGTGGGGAATCGAACACAGGTCTTCGGCGTGACGAGCGAACGCTTTAACCACTAGGCTACCCCACCGCCCCTGTAGCTATATATACGTAAATAAACCTTTTTTTTTTGTCAAAGGATGCCTTTTAATTTTGTTAACAGCTTGTTCACCTCCCACGTCTCTCACAAGTCATTATGTTGTTTAGTTGTTTGATGATTAACGCCGCACTCTGCAATAATCCAGCTTATCCAGTCTGTAATACTGAAATCTGGACCAGACAATCAAGTGATTAACATATGAACATTAATCCATGCATCTAGGATACGACAGTCGCACTTCCATTTAATTCAGCCAGTTCTGATGTCCCCCGCCGTGATGTTGCTGGAATATTGCTAAAAGCGGCGTAAAACCAAACTCGGTTAGTCAGTCAGTCCATTTAATTCAGGTCTTACTGCGTGGGAGCGGAGGGTTGGCCTAATTGTTAAAGCATCGAATGCTCACGCTGAAGACCCGGGTTCGATTCCCGACATGGGTACAATATGTGAAGCCCATTTCTGGTGGCCCCCGTCGTGATTTTGCTGGAATACTGCTAAAAGCGGCGGAAAACCATTTTCACTCACTCACTCACTCACTTAGAACGCGTTTCAGCTACAAAACTAACCGAGGACAATCCATTACGGGTCACGTCAGAACAACTTCACCAGCCAAAGACGTCAACTCAAGCCAGTCAGAAAGCAGCTTCCTCGAGCATAACGACAAACGTTTCTGACAGACGACTTTAGCCCAAACTAGGCGAAGAAAAAAGTATTTTTACAGTTCTGCATTAAAAAAATATATAATATATACCTCTCAGGGACGGGGACGGTGGGGTAGCCTAATGGTTAAAGCGTCCGCGCGTCAAGCTGAAGACCAGGGTTCGATTTCCCACATGGGTACAATGTGTGAAGCCGCTGCTGGTGGTGATATTGCTGGATTATTGCTAAAAGCCAATCTCACTCACTCACTCATTGGTCATTGGGAAAACCCTGTTCAGGCCTTTACGAGATTTGATGATTAGAAAATACATTTCGATAGTCACATGCCCAATCTGCTGGAAGCTCGTTCTGACGTACCGTGTTTGCACTTAAGTGAGTGAGTTTAGTTTAACGCCGCACTCAGCAATATTCCAGCTATATGGCGGCGGTATGTGAATAATAGACTCAGGACCAGATAATCCAGTGATCTGGAACATGTGCATCGAACTGCGCAATTGGGTACCGATGACATACACGTTGTCAACCAAGTCAGCGAGCCTGACCCCCCGATCCCGTTAGTCGCCTCTTACGACTAGCATTGGTTACTGAGGATCAATATTTTAACCCGGACCTTCACGGGTGTTTGCACTTGAAGCTGGTATGATGCGCAAAGGAGATAATCCTATAGATATACAACATAATTCCAATGAATGCGACCTTCCGGTGTAGATACTAACACTGTCACACTGTCATACACGCGGTCATTCAATTCACTCATCACTTGCTTGACGATGGTGTTAGTATCTGTACCGAAAAACGTCGCTCTCATTACCTCGTAAGGATGGGAAAGCCACACTAACTCGGTGCGCCTAGTGGCTGCAAGAGTTGTATGTTCCCCAGGGAGTTGAGATTGATAATACGACGTGCTGTTGAGATTGTCATCCAGTGATCGAGGGAGAAAACAAAGCGCCTTTAAGCAGCTGAGCTGGATGTCGGGGCTATACAAATGTATGTATGTATGTATGTATGTATGTATGGATGGATGGATGTATGTATGTATGTATGTATGTATGTATGTATGTATGTAATGTATGTATGTATGTATGTATGTAATTGAAATACTGAAGTTGTACAGCCATATCTCCCTACTAGAACTAAGATCTTAAGATTGAAATTCGTTATTCAACATGTAATTCTGACCCGATTTTATAAATCTCTGTGACACGCAAGCTTCTATAAAAGTAAAAATATTCCACAACGTGCAATAGAAATGGGAAAAGGCACACACAATATTGAGATAGACTTTTATTGTAATATTCTGTTTGGTTTAAAAAAGGTTGGATGCAACAGCTAATCAAGACCAGTTATTTTCAAGCAAAATTTGGTTCATATGGAACAAACCTAAAGCTTTCGATAAACTGAATTATACTCTTGAGACTATCCCTATCAATGACTGTAAAACGAATTTCGTGTAATGATTGGTTACAACAGTATTTCTCAACATGCATGTCTCTAAAAACCAACACACAGCAGAACTTTGTTATAAGACTGACTGACTGACTGACTGACTGAGTTTGGTTTTACGCCGCTTTTAGCAATATTCCAGCAACATCACGGCGGGGGACACCAGAAATGGGCTTCACACATTGTGCCCATGTGGGGATTCGAACCCGGGTCTTCGGCGTGACGAGCCAACGCTTTAACCATTAGGCTACCCCACCGCCCCTTTGTTATAAGAAGCTTCCAGTGCAATATTAACCCAGCTAACCCACAACGTTTTCGCAACGTTGTGGGAAGGTTGTAGATTGGTAACGTCATGAGACAACGTTGTCATAACGTTAGTATTACGTCATTTTAACGTTATGTCACAACGCAATAACCACGTAGCAAATTGACGTTGAGGAAACGTTATGTTTGGGGCTCCTCACAACGTTATAACAACGTTTCTTATAATTTGTCACGATAGCGGTTTCTGTAAAACCTTTCTCTTTGAGATGCTTTCTTCACTATTCAGCTACAGCTTCAGAAAACACACGACCAAAACAACATGCAAATTGACGAATAAACATTGAAGTGAATTTCTGCTTTTGTTTCTGTACTGTTCACTACTGGGAAAACTATTCAACTATTAATGTTAAATATAGCTTTAGGACAACGTAAAATACGTTATCATCAAATAGCTTGTGGCGACGTGAAAATGACGTTTCACAACATCAGGCCAGAACGTTGTGACAACGTAAACGGAGTCCACAGAATAACGTTGTAATAAAGAAATTGTGACAACGTGAAACTGTCAGCAGGGAATATGCAATGTGAAACAAACGTATAAAAAGATACAAATAAATTGGATGTCATACGAATCTGTTTATAGTCTTTCTTAATTACAAAAAGGAACAGCCAAACTAACTTCAATAAACTATTTTCAATAAATCCACAATCAAGTAAAGAAGTGAAATCTAAACTAGTTTTAATATAATACTGGTGTATCACAAAACTATTCGTGTTATTTAGGTATTTGGGAAGCGTATTTACAAAATACAGTATACATAAATGGTCACAAGCAAAAGCTACACACAAGCTGGCAATTATCTCATAAAACTGTTAAACACTCACAACACTAAAAAGAGTAATTAACATGGACATTGTCTGCCTCTGAAATAGCTGAATACATGGGAGTAACGGTGTTTACCGAAAAGTTATCACTTGGAATGTAATCTTCTAAGACCTTTTGTATGCTTTTTCCACATCGAATAGCAAACGCCACGGTCTTACCTACCACGTTGTAGTCAAAGTAGAGAAATTACAGACAGTTAAACTACGTCCATTACGAACTCAAAGGGACCAGTAATTTCAGTTCGGTATAACCGTATTTCGAAAAACGTACTTATATACTACCCATCAAAACTTTAGACTCATTATTGTTAATGTAGCCACTTACTTCAGTCAACTGTTCTAAACTAGATTTTGCAAAATATTCCCTACTGTTTAAAGGTACTGTTTACACATGAACTGGTGTATTTTAAAACAAATTCGTAATGTTGAAAAGATTATTGTCATGAGTTCAAGAAATCATGAAACTCAGTGAAAATTGGCGAATTCTTAACAAAACTTCACACCAAAACGCAGCTGTTCACATGCACGATATTTGCACATGCTTTGATGCATGATCCTCATGCAATTCATCTGCATAAGGTTTACAGTTGGTTCCCCCAAGTTAGTGGAGAAATTCATCTTCGATATAACCACACATATATCCATAACATATAGTGAGTGCTTTAAGTGAGTCTAAACTTTTGACGGGTAGTATATAAACACCAAATCGCCGAGACAAACCCACCCACCCCCCAATAAGTTCGTTATATCAGTCAGTTCGTTATAAAGGTGGTCGTAATAAACGTAGTTTACTGCACAGACAAAGCGGGTTTGTCTCCTTCAATACCACGTCAATAACCTCGTTGCATCCAGAGATAACAGCATATGATCAAAATCGGGAACATGGTGTGTGGAGGTTTTGGAACAAAAAATCACAAAAAAGATATCTACATGTACATGAAAAGTTAAGACAAAAGAATCATGAATTCAGGATAAACGTTTATTTTCCATGATCAAATAGAATTTGTTAGTTTAGCCAGAAAAGGTTCAATCTTGATTATTCTAGTAATTTATAATGCATTAAAGTCTTGATTGTCGGGATTTCTATTATTATTTCTATTATTATTCCTATTATTGGATTGTCTCTCTGGTAAACAGCTAGCTGCCATGAGTGAGATTTCTCTTCAAAACATGTCTCTGACAGGGCTAAGGCGGATGCATTAACAAGGATCTCGGATACAGGAAGGAAGCATATCGTTGCCAGAGATTGTCAGTTATCAAAAGATGAATCTTTTCAAAAATGAATCCTTTAAAAGATCTATTTGATTGATTTAAGCAATAATACATGTATACCTACTATGACCATTCAACAGCTACTGGTAATTCAAGATAGTTTGTTTCACCCAATTCATCCGAGAGATTGCACAAAATGTTTCATCGCTGCTAATTGCAATGACTTCGCCGGCATCTTTACAAATGTTTGAGTCCTTATCACATAAATTATTTTGTTCTATACTTCGAACAGCATATGAACAATGATTTTTCCTTCGAATTACCGTTTCTGTTTTGGCAACAATTTTCTGTGTCGCCTTCCGTTCTGAATGGGAACATTCTGAAATTGCTGCCCCAAGGTAATCAATAAAGCTAAGTGACTGGACATCCTGCTAGACATCATCCTCTGGTTGCCAATCTGGTGTCCAGCATTCGCCATGACACAATCTATTTGACCAGCATGTATCTGTTGGCCTCCAGTCGCGATGATACTCTCTATTTCTTGGGCTGTCATATTCTGACCTCCATGCACTATGGTACCTCCCACCTGGTCTGCTGGCCAATGTTGGCCACCGTTCACCATGGTATCACTCATGTGACCAGCTGGTATCTGTAGGTTTCCATTCACCAGGGTACCTCCCGTCAAACCAGTTGGCATCTGTTGTCCTCCATATGTCACGGTACCTCCCATCTGACCAGCTGGCACGCGTTGTCCCCAATTTGCCGTGGTACCACCAATCTGACCGACTGTCATGCGTTGTCCTCCATTAGTAATCGTACCTCCCATCTGGCCAGTTGTCACGTGTTGTCCCCCATTTACCACGGTACCACCAATTTGATCAGCTGTCACGTGTTGTGACCTATTTACCATGGTACCACCAATCTGATAAGGTGACATATGTAGTCCTCCATTTATCATGGCACCACTAATTTGAGCAGCTGTCACGTGTTGTGACCCATTTGTCATGGTACCACCAATCTGATGAGTTGACATATGTGGTCCTCCATTTATCATGGCACCACTAATTTGAGCAGCTGTCACGTGTCGTCCTCCATTTACCATGGCACCACTAATTTGACCAGCTGTCACGTGTTGTGACCCATGTGTCATGGTACCACCAATCTGATGAGTTGACATATGTGGTCCTCCATCTATCATGGCACCACTAATTTGAGCAGCTGTCACGTGTTGTCCCCATTTACCACGGTACCACCAATTTGACCAGCTGTCACGTGTTGTGACCCATGGGCCATGGTACCACCAATCTGACCGGATGTCATCCCCAGGCCTCCATATATCATGGTATCTCCCATCTGACCAGCTGTCATGTGTTGTAGTCCATTAGCCATGGAACCACCAATCTGACCTTCTGGTATATATTGCTGGCCATGGCTTCCATCCACACCGTAGTTCTGCTGATGTCCACCGTTGGTGTTCTCCGTTATATGCGCAGGATAGACCGTTGTCGGTTGTACGGGAACAACCTGCCCTCCATCTTTTGACATGTTTCTCTGTGACGGGCAGTAATTAATTTGCTGTCCACCACAGCTCGAATTCTGCCACCCATGACCATGACCATTCACGATCCCCTGTGCAACATTCATGTGGTTACCCACAACCAAACCAGGCATCGTTTGCTGTGGAATGGTCACGACCGTGTTAGGATTACAACTGTTAAATTGCATCTGTTCTGGATTTGTCATATACCCATACCGATCTGGAATCACTGAAGTTGTAGGTGGAGCCATTGTGACCAATCGCGACGTGTTCATCCCCTGAAAAGTCTCCTGCTGTTGCCCTAAAGTATCTGCTGAGAACACTTGTTGGCGCCCGCAACTCATAGGTGATGCTGTCAACAGACACATGTCACTGCCTGACACAGCTGGTATCCCATGTTGCTGATACAAACCCTTCTGAGATGCGGATGAAAAGACTGGAAGCTGATTTCCAACTTGTGATACTGTTGCCTGGTTTGTGAATGTCAGTGGACAAACGGAGACCTCGGGATGCTGACCAGGGCCTCCAAACACTGAAGCTGATGACTGACCATCACGATGGTTGGTATCTGACTGAGGATTCAGGATCTGCGACGCATCTAAGTGTTCAGTTGACGAAGGTTCAGATACCTTGGTGGAAACTTGATGTCTCTTCTTTCTAGGTTTGGGTATTTTCTTTTCTGACTCCTTTTCGTTCATCTTCTCGAAAACGATACTTGGAATACAATCCTGGGAAACCAAATTTGGTGTCTGTTCATTACAATTTGCCATTCCACCTGCTACAGAAACATCAAGTGGTTTACACAGAGCGCGAATGAACGCATCAGCATCATCAACATCATAATTCATGCTTGTGTCGGATGAATTTGCTGTTGACTGAGGCCTCGTGCAGTCTGGTCTGGAATAAGGTTTATCATCGTTGGCGGTCCTAGTTACCCTGGGTTTAGAAACCGGACCTCTCTCAAGGAGGATTTCGGGACTGTTTAAAGAAAGCTTCTTTAATTTTTCATCAAGAGAGATCGGTATATCAATAGAAGTTGTTTCATAGTTGAAGCCATTGGCATCTGGGGTAACTTGGTCAAGGTCGGTTGATGATCCTGCACATATGACTTCATGTTTCTGCTTCAGATTTGAATGAGACGGAACTGACGGTTCCAGAATAACGGTTTCGGAGTGTCTCATGGTACCTGTACTGCATCCGCTCTTTGATGCAGACATTTCCAGAGCCGTATCCTTCTCGTCGTTCTTTCGTTTATTTGTCACTGACATGTTAACAGGTGACAATGTAACATCACTTGTCTGAAGGGAGGACGTCTTATGTGATTCATGATCAAAACTCTTTCCCCTGTTTGATGTCTGTTTGAGGCATTGATTGTGGGCACCACCATGACTGCCCTTCGGCTCTTTGAGTGGAGGAGTTCCAACCTGTAACCCCGAAAACTGTTGGGCGAGTACCCCTATATTTGCTTGCTGTTTACTTTCGGTCTGATCACTGGCAGCTGCAGTGCGTCCTTGACCCTCGCTGTCCATCCTTGAAGATGTTGCATGAGAACGTTCAGTAGGACGCCGAAACCACAGTCCCCGTGAAACCTGTTGACAAAAGATGAAGAGAGTGAAAGGATGGGTGAAGTGAGGAAGCTTAATTTCTATTAACTATATTCCGATATTTCCTATGAGACATTTCTGCGATCATCAAAGAATCCATGCTGTCTTTACTCAGGGAAGACTAGATGAGCACAGGTTTGTTTCATTGTGTGACCTAGGTTATTATTGAGCTGCAAATAGACCAGGGGCTCCTTTCTCCAAGCAACCTTTACTAAGGTTAACCTTAACTCCCATTCTTTAATATTGCACTAAGGATACCTTAGTGACTTAGGATCATCCATAGTGCTTTGTGAAAGGAGGCCCAGGGCCTGTTCATCCTGTTCGCGAACACCTCTCATCATATCACTGTTTTTGAGCGATCCATTCATGCAATTTTCATCGTTATTTCTTCTTTTGTACCCAAAGGAAACTGTTTAGACGGTTTTCGAGATGGGATATTCCCTGGCGTTGATGGCTTACATTTACAATCACATATATCATCTGACCAGCCACATATACTAGTATTATATACCAGTGTTTGTCCAACCGTATAATGGATAATCTGACCACGCCTTCTTCTATAATGACAGAGTTTATTTAATTTATTTAAAGGTTTCCATCTGTGTATTGGATTAATCCATTCATAATGATAATTAATATTACTGTGTGACATCGTACTACACGTCCTAAATTTAAAATACTGAAAATTGTTAAAACGAATAGGAATAACAAACCAAATAGCAACAAAATCTCAAACAAACTATTCACAATGTTGACTAAAAGAAACACTTGAGAAACGAGTCTTTTGTTGACAAACCAATGGCTAAGTATTGCATTAACAACCCTTGCATATTACTGGATGTAATTGGAAATGTTTAGAAATGTATTGCCATGGTGATATCGAATCACTTTGGTCGGCACTGATCGCCTGCAGCTGTTACTTCGTGTACTAGTACGTGTGTTTAAATCCTAGTACACATCAACGCTGGGAAAGAACCAGACCGGAGATCCCGTCTATTATTATCACAGAAGTAAAGCCACGTCATGTCCGTCCCATAGTTGCACAACGATTGTGATCTCAAGGGGCCGTATAGAAAGTTAAAAAGCGTTTAATCTGATACACAAGGTGTGCTTAATACTTGTTGTATAACGATAACAAAATGTATTGTTTTATAATAACAATCATCGCGTAATATTCATCGTAATATTACGTTTACAAACATACATACATGAGAGAGTGGGTTTAGTTTTACGCCGCATTCGGCAATATTCCAGCTATATGGCGGCGGTCTGTAAATAATCGAGTCTGGACCAGACAACAGTGAGTGAGTGAGTTTAGTTTTCCGCCGTGATATTCCGCAATATTCCAGCAATATCACAGCGGGGGACACCAGAAATGGGCTTCACATATTGTACCCATGTGGGGAATCGAACCCGGGTCTTCGGCGTAACGAGCAAACGCCATAACCACTAGGCTACCCCACCGCCCCAATCCTACACAGGGTATCGAACCAGACGCAGGTTGACACGGTAACGCCCCTTCCGCTATGCTAGACGTACAGATGTACAGATTTATACTCGTGTCAATACGTGGGTGGATGCGGTATAACGAGTGTTATTGATATCATATAACGAGGACTCTTTTTACTATCAAGAAAAATGAAATATCCTGATAATTATATACTGGCCAAAACTATGTCTTATTATTCATTTATCGAAACATAAATCAAAATAAAATTAGACAAAATTTGAAAGTCAAAAAAGCCATGTTTTTATTACTTGGTTGTGAAATATCATAACAGGATATCAATTTGTCTCATCAAGAAAATGAAATTGACGCCATGCGTTGCAATGGTCGATTTTCAAGTAAGAAACAATTAACAGCCTTCTGTATTCTCAGGAATACTCGTGGTGTTGTGATAGGTACATACCTTCAATACGCTTTCAATGTCCAATCATCCATCTTGTAATCGTTGATCCCGAGTTGAATACCAGAGCCCAACCTCCCTGTCGACCGACATCCACAATGTGAAGCAATATCACATTGCACTCCACCATGTTGTATTTGTGGGAATTCCCACCGCGTCATCGGGTTCTATTTATAGATAAGCCCTCGTCGCGAAGAAATGTTTATTAGCCAAAGTTAAGCAAGCTGATTGAAGTATATCATGTATCTATTACGCATACATGGTAACATGTAATCCCAAGAAGAATCACAAACTGATTTCAGCGCATAAATGCATTCTATATTTAATAGAAATCCTATCAAAGGAAGACGTCGATCTCTCGTGCAAATACCAGGATATCTTCCCTTGAGCGAGGCGGATATTTGTTACCTGGTTTCATTTTGTGCTGTCCACAATAGACTCAATTTCTAATGTCATATTTACAATAAAACCTTGAATAACTCCATTTCAATATTACCTATTTAACATACTGTGTTATTTGTGGTAAGGTGTTGTTTTCATCTAACAAATAAATATATTCCGTTTAAATAAGACTTCTTATTTTGAGTTATCATAATTTTATTTTTTTATAAATTCAATTGATATCAAAATGCGTGCCCGTAAACATCTTTGATTTGACTCGGATAAAAAGTACGTGTCAGTGACCTGTAATCTTTTCTTATGTAATCATAAATAACGCGCCGTTGGTTTTGAATAAAATTTCCGGGTTTGAATTACCCAACCATACGAGACTATCCGACCTACATCTACTTAAGCCTCTTGGTTGTCCACAAATACACACTTACTTTTTAATGCAATTGTTAGTTGCGGGTGTTCTTTTTTGCCCTTTCCGGGAACACCTGTGAATTACAGGATTCGAATCATATAATATTCATCGCTATTTAGCCATTTATCTACGTTTTGGTGTATAATTCAGAAAGATTATTCTTTGGCCAAAGGACGTACGTGGGGATCATTCCTCCATTCGTTCCAGATTTGAATAATACGTATTTTGAAAACATTTCATTTTTGCAAAGCTACAATTTTAAAGCCCGTGATTAACATAAGTAATATATGTTTCTGGCACGTATAATATTTCATTATTAATAGTATGTTTTGCTGATATTATTTCATTATCATGCTGTAATAAAACTGAAATATTCCTCTCAGTAATATATGCCTTAGACATTGATTATCTTTCATCATTACAAGTAACGTATTTATTGATATTATTTCATTATTATTTTGAAATAACGCTAAAATATAACTAGTAGAATTTTACAAACTGAAATTGTAAACATCGCCCCACCGAAAGGTATGAATGTACTCACTGTTTATTTAATATCTGATATCATAACAATGTGATAGTGCTCCTTAAACACGTGGTTATGCAATAAACTCTTAGTAGAGATTTCGGAATACAGGCGGGTTTTGTCGCATGTATTTCAGCTTAGTCAGGTCTCAATTTACATGTCACTCTCAATTTACACACGACACAGTCTGTTCGTGTCAATAATTGTCAATCTTCACCATCAATACTGGCGCTCCACAAGGATGTGTTCTGTCACCGTTGTTATTCATGACATATACAAATGATTGTGTGTAGATCCATCCTTTTCAGTTGTGAAATTCCCGGACGACGCTTCCTTCATTGCTTAATAAATGGTTCTCACGAAGATGGCTATCGATCAGAAATCTCTAATCTTACAGATTAGTGTCAGAACAACTTTATTCAATTACATGTCAATAGTCAATATTTATTTATTTCTGTACTCAGGAGGCCACAGACCTTTAGTACAAATACAGTGAATAACAATTGATCAGTTAGTAGAATTTTTAAAAATGTAATTTTTTCTGTATGTGATAGTGTAATACATATACATAGATAATCTTTCTAAATGTACTTTACTAGAATTGATTAAAAGGGTTATGAATTTATAAATGTCAGGATGTACAAAGAAGTAGCTCTTAATTTATTTATTCCTCATCATATAACAGGCTGGACATATACAAAGAAAATGGTACTCGTCTTCAATTCCATTCAGATTACACATTTTACATATCCTATGCTCTTTTATAAGCCTAAATACCTACCAGGTTCTATAAGCAAATCATGAGATGAACAGCGGAATTGCGCAAGGCTTATTCTGAATGTTTTTATGTTTAACACAGACAGATACTGTTTTTTGTGTATAGATTGCTTAATGATTTTATAATTCTAAATGTTAAGGGGAAAAAATGATATTTGATTTTTAGAAACAGGAAAAAGCCTCTGGAATCTGCTAAAAAGAGCGATTCTCCTATTGCAGCTGTGTCTGAATATAAGTATCTTGGTACTTGTATTGATGATACTCTGAAATGGAATGGCAACACTGAAGCTCCGTTCAAAAAGTGCCAACATAGACTATACTTGATGAGGAGATTACGATCTTTTGATGTTGATGTGAAATTGTTGAAGCGTGTATGCACATCCTTTGTACAAAGCGTCTTGTCTTTTGGCATACAATGTTGGTACGGTTCTCTTAGTCTTCAAAACAAAAACAAACTTATCAAGATTGTGAATATTAGTTCAAAAATTACCGTTACACTGTTAGACCATCCTGCGTGCATAAATTATGACCAAATTTTATCACATGCTCGGAAAATCACCTGTGTTAAACTTTGAATATTCACTTTTGCCACTCGAAAGACGTTTCGATGTGCCTTGTCATAGGTCACACAGAAAAAGAACATTTGTCATCCCCAGTAGCATTACAATTCTAAACAAAACCTTTCAAAGAATAATACTAGTTTGCGATAATATATATTTTCATGGACGCTGATATATATGTAAATTAGTTGAGTTAGTGTATGTGATTTATAGGAATACAGAAAAGTGTACATATATGACTTGCCCAAAGACGTATATATACGTGTATCTACGTGTTTAGACTTGTATGATTTATGCGTGTTGGCGTTTATTATGCGTGTGAAGGGGTGTATTAATTTTATATTTGTCTCTGTTTAATCAACTATTCGTTATTGCCATACATGTTTTATTGGATCTGCTCTGTTCGATGTAAAAAGAATTCCTCTTTGGGTAATACAGTGTTATCTAACCTTACAACGTGTATATCAGATAGCGGTTTTGCTAATGATGATATTTGTCATATTTCTTCTGACAGACATGTACTTCCGACATGTTGAGAAGCTCAATCGGTTATGGGAAATTTATTTCAACAAGAGCAAGGTATAATTTTTCAACACAACACAATTCCGTCATCTCTGGAAATAAGACATGATGAGCATACATGTACGCAATTGGGTCACGATGACATGTGTCAACCAAGTCAGCGAGCCTGACCACTCGATCCCGTTAGTCGCCTCTTACGACAAGCATATTAAAACAACTCTTACTCACTCCGGACATAATAAATTGTGCCCGTCTTCAATAAACAAATACAAAACTATGTCCCAAACCACCACATTTAGTTATTTAAATCATATAAGGCGTTTTTTCTTCTAATTATATTAAATAGCTTTAAGTTCTTAGGAAAATCGTATGCAGAGTTTTACTACAGGACCGGTTCTATCAACCCTTGGTAATGATTTCATTTAATTCTGCTTTTACCAAACGCTTATTAGCATATCATTATCTAATGACGCCCGTCGCAAGTGTTTCATTAACGTGTCATCAGCAGAATCCTCTCCAAAGATGGAGACCATGTACGAGCGTTCTGATACTTGCAAAATCATTTACCAAACAACAGTAAACCCTCATCTCAAGATTCAAAATAACACATTCAACAGGTCAAAATAGTGTGGAAGTAAAGTTTCATATAACGTGTGGTGATTATTTGAAGCCTCACTCCCATCCTCCCTGAGAGACTAAATATTCATTCATGAAAATGCACCAAATGATGAAATATGACTTGATTCCGCTACAAGGTGAGGTGAGGTGAGGTGAGGTGAGGTGAGGTGAGGTGAGGTGAGGTGAGGTGAATTGGGTTTTACGTCATGCTTGAGAATATTTCGCTCATATGACGACGTGCATGCGTGTGTATGTGTATGTGAGGCTGCTTGTACTAGCCCAGACTGAAGCTGGTTTCATAGTGCTAGCCCACTGAGATACCATGCCGCAGTGAAGCATGAATACCCCACTCAGACACATTATACTGACTCCGAGCCGACCAGTCCTTGTTGTACCCATTAATGCCAAGCGCCAGGCAGGGGCCAACAAGTACCATATTTTAACGTCTTTTGGTATGACGCGGTCGGGGATCGAACCCGCCACCTTCCGCTCTCCGGGCGGACGCTCTAACCACTACACCACGGAGGCGGTTGATTCCGGTACAACCCTCCCTCAGTTTACTAGCGGGGTGGCAGGGTAGGCCAGCTGTTAAATGCGTGGACTCCCCAAAAGAAAGGTCCATTGTTTCCTACCGTGATAGGGCGGTGGGGGTAGCCTAGTGGTTAAAGCGTTGGCTCGTCACGCCGAAGACCCGGGTTCGATTCCCCACATGGGCACAATGTGTTAAGCCCATTTCTGGTGTCCCCCGCCGTGATATTGCTGGAATATTTCTAAAAGCGGCGTAAAACTAAACTCAGTCAGTCAGTCAGTCCTACCGTGATATAGCCAGAGCACTGCAAATAGTGGCTGAATTTCTAACCCAGTCACTCTTGTTATTATATCATTACTTACAATGTTACGTCATAACTCACTAGAATGCTTAACATAATGGCCAGCAATCAGTACTTGACCTCTGTCGAATGATCCAAGACCTAACGAAAGAAGACTGTTGAATGTCCAATAAGGAAGTCGCTACCTTGAATGCTTCCTAGTGAAAAAACAGTAAAATATGCCCACACGCTCTGCATTGTCTTCACGTTTATAACACTTCAGTACATGAAACTATTCATCCGTTAAAACGCTTTATTCAGATGCGTCCCTGGTGCAAGCTTGTGCATGGCTGTACAACGAAGTGTGCACTCCACACATTAGCTATGCGCTGAGCTCATCCAGGGAATACTGCTTACATTTCCCCGAACATCCGAGATTCTGGGAAAAGGCTCATTCCAATCTACGTTGGCAAGGAAAAATGATAACGTTTCCTCGAATTTTCGAAATATAATGCTCAATTTGCTATAGTTTGTTAAGATAAAATAAAATCATGTATTAAACAATATGCATTTTTTGTATTTATTTCGTACAATATACAATATACATATCTATATGTTATATATACATATTTGAGAAAATAGACATTTTTTCACATTAAATATCTGTACAACTATTGTCTATTTATTTAACTTCCATCGAACAGCGAAAGGAATTCACCATTCTGTCATTTTCATTGCATTCCCCGTCAAGATCTGCTTTATTGCGTCTTCGGGGATTGACTGACGTGAAGTCATGTACCTTCACCCACAAGGCAAGCCTTATGGATACCTGACCCAAGACATCTCTATGCATGTGGTATATTTGACCAGTTTCTATTCTTTCCGACGATGTAAAGCTCACATTGGACCACACTGGATATATGGACACTGACACTGAATGGGTTCTAGCACTTTAAGAAACACATTTAGTGTAAACATTGATGAACTTCTGTTCTTGAAACTCCACCATCCACTTCAGTTACAACCTTCATCACCTTGAACACACCAAACAAATACAATGGAAATCACGGCAGATTTGAAAACGATCATTTCATTTAATCTTTCAAGTTGGCTTCGGGACAATCTTCTGATATCGGGAATCGGAGATATTTGATCCGGTCTGGGTAACTTGTAGATTACTTGTAGATAGAAATACAGGCCTCACTGGATGAAATTGACAGGGAAAGACCTGGCAACTGGTTGCGCCTAAGATGCCAGCCGTTGTTAACTTATGCTGGGCAGAAGATGGGAACATGTACCTTAAGCCAGCGTTTGTCATCATTGTTGGTTGACTGGTCAACAGTTGAGTCCCATAGGACACAGTCTGGGTTAAGGTGGGAGGTGGTAATGCTGGCTGCTGAGTCAAAACCTGACCGTCTAGAGTACCCGTGGGAATAATTATCCTAGTTTGTACTTGTGGAGCTTGGAAAGAAGCACCTTGGTGATTCTGTACTGGTGGGAGGGACGGTGTTGTTTGAGGAGTTTGGGAAAACAATGATGCTGGTGGGATGAAGTTCTGTGGAAACTGCTGAACAGGTTGGGCCGGGTAACAAGGCATTTGCACATGTGAAGCCTGGATGCCGGATCCATGTGTCCATGACTGAGACACTTCTGGAGGAAGCTGTTCGACAGAAGCACCGTTAACTGTTTCACGGCGAAGTTCATTCTCAACAAAGCTCATTGCATCCTCCATCATTGGTTGAAAATCAAGACCGTGACCTGGGCTCAATCCTGGTGGCACATGGGCTGGCGTTTGTTGTTGGGCTGGCGTCTGTTGGACAGATGACCGACATTTAGACTTGGTTGATGGTTTGCTTGGGGATGGGGTGCCCTTTTTTGTCTTCGGGGTTTCTTCTTTGTTTTTTTGGGTTTTGCTTCCAATTCTTTCAGTTTTTCCTCTTCCAGTTTTTCCCCAACCACAATTGGTATTGTAGATTGCATAGGTGCTGGACTACAAGCCAAGTCCTCTACATTATTGGTATTAAGAAAGTTATTATATTCTGTTAGGTCTGATGCGCTTAAAGCTTGATCTGAAGTGTTAGTTGGTTCAAGGAGGCGAGTATGTCTTCAAGGTTTTCAAGGTAAGATTGATCTGAATCGCGATTTCAAATATTCCAGAAGCATTCTGTGACTGATCATTACCGACGATATCATCCTGCCAAGCATCTACATACGTCTGATCCAAAGGTCCCTGTGGTGATGAATGTTGGGACAAGGCTTTACCGTCAGAAGAACCCCTGACTAACTCCATCAGGTCATCATTTTGTTCACGGGTGACGACATAAGGCGAAGCAGGCTGTCGGTCATATGGCTTGCCCTGATGACGGGGCTGTGAAGCTTGGCGTCTTGTTGGTCCTCTCGCTACAAGCTGTTCCCGGCTGTCTTGTGGCAGAGAAGAATCACTCATCGAACTTATTCCATCGGAATCGATGTCACTTTCGTCGTCACTCACATTCCCGTCGGATTCCAGGGAGCTCTCGGATAACCTTTCACTTCCCTTATCTCCGCACTCATCGGACTCAGGATCAACAGATGAACCTAAAGAAGTCGTTTCAGGCACTCTGGTCAATATTTCACTTCTAGAAGAGCAGCCTGACAAACCTTCAGGGCCATCTTCGTCCTTGACATCCAATCTGGACAAGGCTTCATTCAGTCTGATCACATCTTCATCATCCCCATTGTCAGTTCCTTGCGATGGTTCAGTACTCGGTTCCTCTTGCTTAAGAGTAATGCTTTTCTCCTTCACAGCTTCCAAAGGCTCTGACTGCTGTGGGCGAGGGATGTCGCCTGAAACAGACTCTCGATTTTCAGACGGCGGGAGACCGAGTGTAGAATCGACCCCACGTTTAGGGCTTCTTTGGCCCATGTCCTCGTTAATCTTATCGCCCTCTTCTTTGTTTCGGCTATCATCCGAGGACACACTGATGGGTGTGGTCTCCGTGCAACTGTCTTTTGGGTTTGTCATTATTGAAGGTGATACTGTCACTCTGAAATATACAAAAGTGTTTTAAGTGAGACTCGTGTGAATAAAGCATCGGGCGGACAGGTACGGATAATATCCTGAAAACTAACTGCGCAATAGACCATATGTTACAGACCACACACGGTCGAACGTAAATGTAATTCTGTATGTATGCTTCTCTTTAAGTTTACCTCTGAACTGCTCACTACAACATCACTGCCCACAACATCGTCACTGACGACTACAATATCACAACTCACTACAACATCACAACCCACTACAACATCACAGCCCACTACGACATCACTGCCCACAACATCGTCACTGACGACTACAACATCACAACCCACTACAACATCACAGCCCACTACGACATCACTGCCCACAACATCGTCACTGACGACTACAACATCACAACCCACTACAACATCACAGCCCACTACGACATCACTGCCCACACCATCGTCACTGACTACAACATCACAACCCACTACAACTCACAACATCATCACTGCCCACACCATCCCTGACTACAACATCACAACCCACTTCAACATCACAGCCCACTACGACATCACTGCCCACAACATCATCACTGACGACTACCACATCACAACCCACTACAACATCACAGCCCACTACGACATCACTGCCCACAACATCATTACTGTCGACTACAACATCACAACCCGCTACAACATCACAGCCCACTACAACATCACAGCCCACAACGACATCACTGCCCACAACATCATCACTGACGACTACAACATCACAGCTCACTACAACATCACAGCTCACTACGACATCACAGCCCACTACAACATCACTGGTCACTACAACATCGTTTACACATACTGTAACATGTCTCCTCCGATCTCAGTGTAGTTCGCACGGATCATATCGTTCAGATATATGTAAAATTACATGAACTACAATCAATTGATCACGTGGCGTCCAAAGTTAGACACGCGTAAGCAAGATCCCAATGTTTCGAGACCACTTTTTTTTTATCTCACCTTTCATTACGTGGATGAAAACATAGAATCACAACAAACAGAACCAATTCGAAAGGTGAAGATGTTGTTTCACATCGACCCGGAGCACTAAAAGCATCAATCAAAATGGCGTCCACGTCACCAGTAGTTTTTTTCACTTGTGTTCTATCTCTCGGCGTAACCGTGCTCATATTATTTTGCTTCGGTTGTATGTATGGACATGCGCAGAAGTACGGATTCAATAGCCATGTTTCGACCATTATATATTGTAAGTTATATAAATAGAACTTACATCAATAATTGGATATATCAATACATTTCGGAATGTATGTAGCATGTATATTAAAAAGAAGGAGAAATATAGTCATGTTTGAGGGTAGCTACAATGAAACACAAGAAATTGTGTTTCGATCGTGATGGATTCGTTACAGTTATCATAGGCGATACTGGGCTTTCGAATATAGCATATACGACTTAATTGGCAATGGGAGGGAAGGGTGACATAATGTACCCAGTGTGCACAGTGATTGGTGAATATCCTACAGGCTGACCAATAGAAAGCAGTGTTTCTCCGAATGTTAAGTTTACTAACCTTTGAAAGCACAATGATTGGTTCACAGTCTACAGATTGACCAATAGACTTCAGTGTTTCTCCGACTGTTTTTGTTTACTACCGTTCAGACAACATTTGTAAGTCTTTTCCGAATGCAATTTCAAATACACTATATTTTCCCCCGTTGTACGCTTTTTATAAAACAGCAAAATACAAGATCAACAATAACATAAACGTTCGTGGGCGTAGAATACTCCCCAGTAACACCGAAATCCGGGATCGGTTATCACTTGGTCTTATGTATGAAGTCGACTTTAGGTAACTTGTAGGGACAATATAAACAATATTGTGAACGATGTCAAAGCGTACTCACTCGCTCGCTCCCAGTCGAGATTCGTAACAAGTGAAAATATTTCGATTGCAACTCGATTAACAATTTGATTCCAAATGATGGAGTTGAAGGATGCACATTACGCTTTCTCGCCCCCATCAACACATCCCATGATACGCCCCCGCGACAAGTGATAACACATACCCGGAACTTGACATGGCAGGATCCAAGATACGCTTACCTCGAGGTTGATTACTACGCTTACCTCGAGCAAAATAACTCGGTTTCCGCAATGCGGAAACCTGGTAGAAAGTGGACTGAAACTTAAGTTTCCACCTAGAATCCAGTGAGTTTCCGTTCTTTACATTGAGTTTCCGCAATAACGGAAACTTACAATTACCCACTTTCCAAGGGTTTCCGCAAGGTTTCCGTTACCCACACTCCAACAGGTTTCCGCAAGGTATCCGTTACCCACACTCCAAGAAGTTTCCGTTGAGTTTCAGTTAACTTTGAATCCATCAGGTTTCCGCAAGGTTTCAGTTATTAAGACTCCAACAGGTTTCCGCATAGTTTCAGTTACCAACAATCCGACATAGTTTCCGCATAGTTTCAGTTCCCAGCAATCCGACATAGTTTCCGCATAGTTTCAGTTACCAACAATCCGACAAGGTTTCCGCATAGTTTCAGTTACCGGTTTCAATTTCAGGTTCACGGGTTTTCATATGCGTTTCAAAGAGCTAAATGTAAACATTCTTCTTTATTTATATCATAAACTCTTGTTCAAAACAATATAAGCAATTTGTTATTATCATGACATTTACTAAAAGAAAACAGAATATATAATAAGATTCATTGTTTTATTTTCTCAACATGGTATGGATTAGCATTTAAGGCAAATAAAGATCATACATATAACTAGTAATATAGCACTAAAGAACAGGGCAAAACATGTTGGCATAACTCAATCCAGTTTTAGAAATCATATATCATTTATAACAAAGTTGTAATTTTTCATCAGTTAAACTTTCATTCACTTATTATCTTGAAATAGCATGTTAGATACGAAATTTATTTCTAAAATCAGGCTAATGATGAAAAATAACAATAACATACAACTTAACACAGTGATAAAACATAGTTGCATCGGACATTTATTTGCACGCCTTGGCATTCAGCCACACACTCTATGTCACAACTATCGCCAAACATCCACTATGATATACAATAACAACATACAGCTTACAATACAAAAATAAAATAAAAATTACATTATGAAATTGAAAATAAATTCAATTAAATTGCAAGAGCTGGTCAGTGGGCCCTGTAAGGCATCCCTGGGCGGAGATCCCTCTGTTACTTTGGTTGATGCCTCATCCTCGTCCTCCTGTTGGCCTTGACGAGAGCAGTGGAGGTGTAGATTCTTTCCAAGTCCAGTGTCGTCGTGTATGCCATAAGCTTGCTGGACTCACAGACAAAGGGGACGGAATGCAACTAATTGACGTCATCTTCGTCACTCACGACTGGTGATGTCATGTCTATGGTGAGTGTTGTCGCTACCTTTTCTATCGTCTATCTGGCCAATCAATAGATGCAAGTCTGTTTGGGCGTTGTGCAAGTTTCTGAAAATGGCAGGTTATAACGAATTACTAGGTTATTTTGATGAATTACACAAACATCAATCAACAAGAAACTGACAATGCCAAGGATGATTTAAAATGAGTAATCCACAAGTAAGTTTGAATAAAAGAGAACTAAATTGAACAATCACACTTTGCACTAGTTTTTCTCAAACTCAAATTATGCAATTCATCACACTTCATTGACCGAATGTAATATCTTATTTTCTAAAGAGGACACAGAATCTATACAAACTTTGCTCTGGAGTTACATGCTTCCCAGACCAGAGGTAGTAATATGTTATATATAATATCTGAACATTTATTGCATTTTCTATGTAGTAATAATGGTACTAGTAATAGATTTTCATCAACGTTGTGGTGTCCACCTCCGTGATGTTGCTGGAATATTGCTAAAAGCGGCGTAAAACCAAACTCAGTCAGGCAGTTGTATTGTTGAAGGCACAAGTATATTCACCCAGTAGTGACTGTATGTTTACACCATTACGTCTTTGAGGTGTATTTAGAAGTGAATAATACAAGACGCGATGTTTCCGGATGTCAAGGTTTTATTATGTGAAAACACACAGCTTGGAGTGAATGCTTACACCTGACGAAGGGGTAAGCATTCACTCTGAAACATGTTTTCACATAATAAAGGAGTTGACATCCATAAACCTTGTCTCTACTCTATGAATTGGAAATAATTTACTACTTATAATGAAAGTCACTACAGATAGGTCAAAATTACCTTCACACATGTTTCAGCTGACCATCCTTGGTCATTCGTTATACAGTCTGCAGACTCATCATCAGCTGAAAAAATAAACAATAACACGTTACTTTTCTTTGCATTTCTCCATTCATTCATTTGAGGTTTAACAAACCCCCAAACAATTGCAGCGACATTTATACCAACAAGCAAACTACAGATTTATCACTTTAAGGTTATGCAATGAGTAAGTGAACGGCCTGACATAAACATCCTGATGAATGAAGTTCAGTTATCTCATGTGACATAACCTTGGAGTAATTACGGTATTGTAAAATCAAGGGGTCAGTTTTACTGCCATTTCACACAGGTGTGAAGTTTATTTGGTCCAATTTGAAATCATGATTAAGTTACCGGTTATTCAAATCCATTTGCAAATGTAACTTGAGTATGGTTCATTTTGTGAAAATGTATCTAGGGAAGCATAATAATAAAATATTCAAAGTGAAATTACGTCTATGTTTCATAGTACCATAAACACATACCTTCAGTTAGAGAGGGTGATCTTTTCTTCCAGGAGTGGTCGTGACACGTTTCCTCCTCAACAGCCTAAATGGATAAAACAAATCAATTAATATACAATCTATTTGCTATATTTTTCAAAATTGTAGTATATTTTTCGATAGACACTTATTTTACTTCACCAACCTTTGAAAATAGTTCGTGCAAAACTGTTTATACAGTCAGGGGACTTAAATATACGTCAGTCGGCAAAATTCTCATAGACTTGCATGCTATTTTAGTGTAGCTATGTA